TTATACTTGCAAATGTTACAAAATAATGTGATACCTGCCAACCGGCGTATAGAAACTGAAATTGGTACTACAGTTTGGTTCCAACATGACGGTGCACCGCCACACAATGCTCTGGTAGTGAGAAGTTTCCTCGACTGGGGATTTAACTGCAGATGGATTGGACGAGGAGGACCAAAGGAACGGCCTCCAAGATCACCTGATCTGTCCCGCTTGGATTTCTTTCTATGGGGATATCTAAAGCAAACAGTTTATTCCCGAAAACCGAGCACGATCGATTAGCAGAGTATTGTGGCGCAGAGCGAAAGTATACCAACTGCTACCATTCTACAGGTGGATGAAAACTCTTCATCGGATTTTGTTATGCAAGCATTAGAATAAAAAACATATGGAACAACTTTTATAATATGAATATAATTTCTTCCGTAATATTTGTTCTTTCTTTCTTTCGGAATCCTATCTCCGACGTAGTTAGCGAGATCTTTCAACGCGAACACAATCAATTAGGAAAAAACAAGAAGAGTTTTGCGTGGGCCGACATTAAGGGATATCTTTGTCTGTTATTAAGGCAAGTTCAAAGTTTTATTGTGATTATCTGTTTACCGAAACCTCATCGAAAAATAGTGCGTGTATATTGGACGAGTCAAACGTTGGCCCAGCGTCCTCATCGCTTGAGCATTTTCCCTTACGAATTTCCCACATGACGCACCGCTCCACAACTGATTATCTCGTGGTGATTCTCTACAAATACTTGGACAGTGTCGGATTCGGAACCTGTGCCGGTCCGAAAATAACACGACCGATCGGGTTCATTTATCGATCAGTCGAATGGTTCAGTCACAACAAGGGACCTGGTGCCTGCCCAACTAACTCCAGCGAGAAATCACACCTTGTTTACAGCTGTGATTCTCAGGCAGACCCAGTAAACTTCCACTGTACAACAGGAGTGCCATCAATACACGGATGGACTGGACATGACATCGAGAGCATTACAAAAATACAAGCCGATAATCAGACAGTCTCGTGATGGGGTGAGGGACTTCAAGTGCCGCAAATCGTAGAATATGACCCAATCAGATCACAGCAAAGGTCAGAGGGAATTTAATTGTTTAAGGTCAAGGGTGAGAGGGACGAGACGATGTGAAACGATGGAGCAATCGTACTGTACTGTCCCCAGTTTAACCACTTGTTTTGTTCTAAATGCAAATTTTCGAACACAAAAGGATGCATTGAGCAAGGAGTTTAACCAACGATCTGCAGTACAATGCAGATAACAGTAATATTTACATTGAACAGCAGAACGAAATTTCGAGATTCTCAAATTCTCTAGTGGGTTGTGTTTGTAAACCACAGTAGCTGAAGTGAAAATTCAAGATTCTGTTTTAGATAGCTAAAGGCAACTAAATATCGTTGTTATAAATGCTCCAGTTAGTTTGAACACTACCCTTTTGATGCACTTTTATCAGAGAACTTAATAGAATAACAACTGTGGTCTTGTGTGGTGACCCAACGCCAGCCGAGGAGCGACGCGGTACGGTGTCCGAAAGACCAATGAGAAGCCAGTGACCTTGGTCAATCAAAATTTATCTGGTTTAAATAGAATTTGTTTCAAGAAGAACATGAATTACTAATGGTCAATACTGCTTCAGTCAATGATATTATTTTTAAAAAATTAGTCAATCTCCTTGATTTTTCTCAGCAAATTTGTGGCGGCTTGCTAGCACCGAAAAACCAGAAATAGCTAAAGAACCTACACCAAGGAAAATAACTAGGAGACAGAAGAATGTGCAACTCATAGTACCGTAATTGTCTATAAAGAGAAATAGAGCCAACCACATGCGTGGCTTCATCTTCTTATATCCGTCACGTTGTCAGGCTTGATTCGTTCAGCTATGGGACGAAAAAATCGTTCATGCGAAACTAACTTGACTTTGGCTCGGGAAGATTGGACAAATGCTGTAAACCAAGGCAAAGGGGCATATGTTATTTATCTGGACTTCTCTAAAGCAAGTGATAGGGTAAATCATCAAATACTGATACGGAAGCTGTATAACTATGGAATCCGTGGACTCGTACTTGGTTGGATCCAGGATTTCCTTCACCTACGTACCATGTCAGTTCGTGTTTCCGATTCAATTTCTGATCTAATAGATGTCAACCGTGGGGTTCCACAGGGATCTGTGCTAGGCCCACGTCTTTTACTTGCCTTTATAAACGATCTTCCAAACCTCCTCGAATCGCAAACTCTGCTGTTTGTAGAAGATGCCAAAATATGGAGGACAGTAACAAAACCAGAAGATTCATTTGATCTCCAGAGCGCCCCGGACGAAGCCCACAGATGGTCTGTCTCCAATGGTATGGAATTCCACGTTATCAAATGTAATCTTATCACTAAGTCGCAATGGTCGTTTTTCCTACACTCTCTGACACGAAACTCTGCCTCATGCTCCATCCGAGAAGGATCTGGGAGTAGTCATTCGCACAGACTTGAGTTGCTCCACAAACTGCTCTAGGACATCATCCATGGCGGTAAAACAGGTTGGATTGCTTAAACGTGTTTTAGATCGTTTGATCCGGCTTTGTTTCGACGTTTATTAGCCACATATATCCGTCCATACACCGAGTACTCAATTAAGGCCTGGGACACAGGCTGCAGAGAGATCCGAAGGCGATCGAGCATCTACAGAGAATATCTACCAAGATGTTCAAAGGTCTACATTCCAAGACCTATGACGAAAGATTACAGCTATTGAGGCTATACTTGTCTCAATATCGTCAAATCAGAAGTGATATGATCTTACTGTATCGGATTTTCCATCAGCCCAACCATCCATGTAGACATTTATTAGTTCTATCAACCAATGTTCATCTCAGGGCATCCACTGAAGTTGGCACTCCAAAAGAGCCGTCTCGACTACAAACTTCATTCGTTTGCAGTCAGGGATTGCAACACATGGAACTCTCTACCACCTTACGTGGTCTGTGCTCCAACAATAGTGTCTTTCAAGCGATGCTCTGGGAAACATGTTTCATCACCCAACTACATAATACATTCTCATGTGCTCGTCAAAAACATTGCATTTTTACTTTACTTACTTGGACTAACTGCGATCTTGTGAATCGTGTTCCGAAACAAAGTGTAAACACCCTATGGGCTTTAATAAGCGAAATCTTTGTAAGTTTTTCCCATAGTGAAAATTTGAATTTGAATGCTAAAGAAATTGGGCGGGTAAATTTTAGTTCGAGTTCTATCAATTTCAGCAGTTGATTCCGCCGTCAACAAGATGAACAAAGAAGGCCTGTGATAACCAAGAGGATACGTTGAAAATGTGCTCCTTATTGATTAAAACAAAATAACGTTTTGTACAGAGACGTAGATATAATGCAGAAAGATAAATGAGTTGTACAAATGCCACACACTAACAGATACTCCTGTGGCTTTGTTCCTTGGTCTCGATATCGGGAACCTCCGCCTTTTACGCCTTCTATTTAGTCCATTTTCATGAGTGGCCTTGAGACAAGAACCAAACACAGCATTGTAAAGCGCAAGGCTGATAATTGTGCAATCTGAAAATGCATGATGAAAACTGAAAGAAAATCAGGTTAATGATGACAATTTCACATGACAATTTCTTCATAAAATATCACACTGAATGGCGAGTAAAGACAAGCACGAAATTAACTAAAGGCTAAAAATTTGATTATGCAAGAAGTTCCAACGTTCGACTTTTATCCCTCTTCGGATTTTTCAGATAGCAAATGTCCATAAACGTTGTTTGGTGGTCGATGCAGATTGAGTAGTATGCCCTGTTCCGGTGATATACACGGCATATGGATCAAGAACCCAAACTTTCGACATCCACTTGACAGTAAAAAAACTTTCTACCAGATTACGGGCGGTAGTTTGGGCACGGTTCAGCATTATCTAATGAGTTTCTTAGTTGTATGAAGTAAAATAGGCCCAATTAATTGTTTTGGAAGTTCGGGTGGCAGTTCTGATTCAAGGCAACATAAAGTTTCCTAGTCAATCAATCCTGAGAAGTTAGCTTAGACATCAATGGCCTTAAGCTTTCTAATCTTTCCTTCAAACAATGACCATTGTCAAAACTGAATTTCTTTATTAGCAGAGTGGTGACTTAGAAAATGTAAAATACAATTTCCATACTAGTGTCGCTATTGCTATCTTTGGGCCATTTACGGAGCTCTCGCGGTGTTAATGGCACTTCGATGGGTGCGAAAGAATTCAAGAGTCCAGATATTTTGCAGATGATATCAGTGGCACTTGTTTGTTTGTGCTGACTGTGTCATAGATTGCGGAGTTAACTTATGCATTATACATTTACCTAATACGCACTGGTTTGCTCCTGTCTCGGTCGTTCCGAATTTCGTTTTGAGTCGTCGTTCTGATTTGGGGTAGTTATGCATGGTATAGATTCATTGTGAATTCCTAGTTCAATTCGGACCACCACAACATTCACTGATAGGCACCGGGAATATGGGCGAGATGATACATGCGTTGGGAAATGTGGTCGACGACGTCTTAATCGCTAAAGTGATCAGCCTTGCAAGAGAGCTCTGTATGTTTCAGAGACAGTGAAACGGTAACGAAGAGTTACCCGGGAAAATGTTGGAAGAGAAACTAGAAACCCGATACATCTGAAGTGAGTGAATGCAGTTAAACAGCTATAGAGTTGCAGCCGATCACAGAATGGGGAAATACATTCCAGACTGATCAACCCGAATGATTATTTTTGCATCATTCTTTTTGCCGGATAGCATTCTTTCTGGGACAAACAACACAAATTATAAATGCGCGCAAGGCATTTCCGACTTTCTCGATTGAGATGATGAATTGAGAACGAAATTAACGTTTAAACAGGAGTGGCTGACTCAATTTCCACGAATCGATCTATTTATCACGTGATGTTGCACATGACATATTTCAATATGTTACACTGGTTCGCCCATCTGCTAAACCCGGTGGCCAACATTCGGGAATCCAAATGCACCTGGAGTTACCGGATTACGTGATTAACCGTAATCTTATCAAAGCAGTTCGCAAAAACAATGCAGTTTATGTGAAAGGTGCATTAAACTGTAATCCTTGGTTACGTGATGCCCTATTCTACTCGGAAGCAATGGTGACGAATGTTGGCCCATTTGATCATACATACAGACCGCCAGTGTATTTTCTGAACACGTTATTTGCCTATGCGATTCTGGCAAATAGTAAAAAGGTTTTGATGGCTCTGAAAGATTTGCAGGCTGATATTTATCGTTCGTGCTACGTGGCGGACGTGTTGGATGATGGCGAAGAACCATGCTATCGTGTATTGGAATTGCCTCCAATTGCTCTGTGTCAACCCACTGATGCAGGATTATCGTCTGCGATTGAAGTTGGCTACGATGCGCACGGTAACATCATTGTTGTGACTACAATTTACCATGGAAACGAAGCTGAAGATGCTGTGGTTCAGTACAGAGGATACTGGGAGTTTTGTATCAGTGCGCGAAAGCGTACTCACAACGCTCAGTCCATTAATGAAGTAACCAATCACATCATCCCTATTGGTTATGACGTGAATATTCTGCTTAAACAGTTGGATTTGTGCAAACTCTTTAGTCGATATTATTATCTCACAGTTGGTAAGGGTTTTCGAAATACGGAATATGTGATTCGTGCATGCGAACTGTTCGAGATATTGCTACGTCACGGTTGCTCTTTTACGGACCGAAATGTGACGCATAACATGTTTAAAGCACTACAGGAACTGATACGCTCTCCGCATCACTCAACTGAATCACGTGACCGGTTGACCGATATCCTACGCACAATTGTCCTTCTCAGTCCGGACGGGCGAGCTCTACGCGAACTGGAATCACCTTTGCTGAGCAGGGTTGTTAGATCGGTTCAGACGGATACACTAGTCGTACGATGTATACGCCAAATACGATTCATGCTTGGCGGCCAATTTTTCTTACGTCATGTTCAAAGTTTACCTTGCAGCGATGAAGTAAAATCGTTGATTACTTACGGGCGAAAAAGATCCAAACGATGAAACGGGATTTCACCAAGTGATACCGGGCCTGTAACCCACGATGAAGATGCGATCCTGTATCGCGCAACTACTGATCAGAAATTGATGCATGTAAACAAGGCGAGAAGCATTTAAAACGCTGTGTTCTGATGACAAGTTTGGATAAAATAACAATTAGACGTCTTCTAGATGAGGTCCATGATAGACAAATAGGATGTTACGCTAACTGGGGACAATTAAATTGTCTGATTACCAGAAATTGGATTAAGTAGATGGGTTGTATATCTTTTGGTCATGGAGTCAACCAAAAACACCATTGGCTAAATTGAGATGAATTGAGATTTACCGTAGAGGGCCAGTAAAATATATCTTTGCATATGATATAAAAATACAATATAATATATATGTAAATGTACACTATATGCACTTTCAGCTACCACTTCCATTAAAGTAGGATGCGTTCAATGTTTTGTCTATTGAGCGTGCAACCGCATTTCGAAAGGAGCTGTTAGGTAAATGTGATCTCTAATCACGTAAGTCAATAATTAGATAGGCAAGTCGTTAAGCGGCACTGGCGATGTCACGTTGTCATTTTTCGCAGATTCTTCCTGAATTCCTCCATAGTAACCTTATCACCTTATCACACGGGGAGATTCTGTAAGCAAGAATAAGGGAACTGTCGGTCGAACACTTTAATCAGCATAAATTGATACCCCATAAGGTTCCTAGTGAAAAATCAACATGAATTTAATTGGATTTTATAAATGCGATTCATTCTTCCTGAGGGTCTATGCAATGAATTATGCCAACACTCAAGCCTGATCGGTCACTATAACCAATAGATTTTGACGTGGTTCCCGACCTTACTCAGCGGATCGAGGTCAATCCCCGTCGCGTTCCTTCAATCTAGTCTAAAGCCCAGTCGACCAACAGTTAAGGACATGAAGTTCCCGAGAAATGATTAGTCAAACCCAAACCCAGCGAAACCTTCATCCTAGATCGGTAACTAACCCAAAAAAGTGCTTTTTTACATGGAGAAATCACTTTATTTTGATAAACCCGGTCGAGTCGGTGCCATGTAACAACTAAGGCATTCGTCATTTTGAGGTTCACTGTAGAATGCGATTGGTAGGATTCGCTTGAAGTAACAAGTTTCACTTGAAGTTGAACAGCTACAGAGCGGAGCATCTGCAGCCTCTCAGCTCATTTTGCCAATCAAATATCGGGGTAACCGAAGCAACTCAGTGAAAGAGCATAATATTGTGCTATTGCATTATTGAGTAGGTAAAAAAGCTTACAATTCAGTAACGATGACTTGACACGCCAACCGCCACATGGGTAAACCGGACGAGTTAGCAGAAACACGATAAGGTACATGGTAAAGGGGGTGAAAATACAGCTTCAGTGATGGACATAGATTAGTCGGAGTAAGGCAGACAAAAAGTGATAACGATAAAAAGGAGAATGAAGTGATGGTCTGTATCGAGTGCAAGTTGGATGCTGAATCGCGGTTGTTACTAAGGCAAATCGCTTTGAGCTGCAACGGTAATTGCAATTTGAATTTCTGCAAGCGTAGAGCCTACATTTCGGAGGAGGAAAGTAGCCAAGTTTCGAAAGTTTTAGAAAAATCCGCGCAAACTTATTCTCTTTTAACTAGAACACATGCTAAAGAGGGAATGGTGGAGATTCTGTAAATGCTTATATGTGAAGGAACCCAACAGTATTGGAATATAGTAGGCAAGTGGAAACGACCGGAAATTCAATCTGTGTGTGCTGTGGATGGATGGGATCCAAACTTTTCACATGCATCAGAATGACGTTCATCTACATTGGTCATCAAGTGCTCCATCGGGATTGAAGAAACATGGCTAATGACAATCAGTCCAAGTCAAAGCAGCATCAAAAGACTTAAAAAGAAACAACAGGCGAGCAATAAAACAAAACGAGGAAAACACACTGTTGGATGAATTTCGAGATAATCAACTGGTGAATAAATGACAAACTGTACGAATGTACAAAGGACGTCTTCCGTGAAGCGATGCTCAATGTGATTGGTTCAATGAAGGCTACCATCACTAGCCCCCCCCCCCCCTACAAAGATTTTTATATAGCTAACGAGGGGCTCTGGATTAGAGCTCATCGATATCGGAACAAACAGCAAAGAACGTGATAAGGTACAGATACGTTTAAGGGGAAGAGAGATACAGAAGTGGCGGAAAATTCTTAAACGTAATCCAAGGTGTCAGAAACATGTGAAGATCTGAAAACCCGAGGATACCTGATACAAAACCAAATCTTCAGCTTATTTGATGAAAAAATTAAGGGCGTTAGCAAACAAATCGGTAATATGTATAGCAGACAGGTACGGTCATTCAAGGACATGATAATCTTATGTACAATTGAGGCAACTGCATTTGATGTGCACCTATTTGGTTTGAAGACAAACTGAAGAGGGTTATAGAGAAAAGATTTTGTGTCTAGGGGTAGCATGTTCTGTTGATTTAAGAGCAACGGGAGTTAAAAGCAATAGGAGCAAAACGTTTGGTTATAAAAGTGGAGTTAGAGGAGTTGTGGAAAGGGAACAACGTTTACCGGTCTCCAGGAGATTAGTATGAGGCAACTGTTTCCGGAAGTGTTTATGACTTGTGACAATATTTCAGTACGAGAATTAGTTTCAAAAATGAAGAGGAAAGATCAAAAGAACTTACACTAAAAGTGGGTTTGGTGGTAAAAATAAAGCGTTAAAACTTCTCATTTTAGAACAGTCTATAATTGAACGGCATCATTCACTGTAAATAGCGTGCTAACGATGTATGCAAACGCTTAGTTAACCTCGTCAACCATGAAGCGGAGACTGTTGTCTAACAAAGGAACGAAGTTCGGTATAAATACATTAAAGATGGATGGATGAAATTTTCGACTAAGTACAAAAAGGAGCTCACTTTAATGTGGTTACGACGGTGCGTTAATGTTGCGGAAATCCAACAAAAACGGTGAATGTTTAACTGGCGGAATCGTCCACAAAGAACAACAGCGGCAAGCTCAGTTGATGAAGGTGATCTGCCTCCCTTTTTCTTCCTATAGTGCTCAAAGTCCTGATGAACAATTTAAAACCGTTGATTCCAACCAATTCCTCCTCAACATTTTGGTCGAGCCAGGATTCTTGTACAGACCACATTCGTGTTCCAATGAATGCGTGAATCGAGGGTGCACATTAGATCCGTCATCCTTGATGTTTGTGATGACGAATGAGGGCAAAGTCATCTTGAATGAGAGTGCAAATAAGCAGTGACTGCCAGTCAGGTTTATGAGCAGGAATCCGTGAACGGGTCTAGGAGGACATAAAACGCACAGTACCGTTTATGTTGTGATTAAAACTGATCACGCAAAACTTGTGTGTGGTGAAAGAGAGGAGAACGAATTAACAACAAACTGGACCGTAGTATTCATCCATTTGATGAACAGAGGTTTAAGCTAGTTGCAGGTGTACGTTTTCCAAGCTACGAGGATTGGAAGGTTTCAGTTTCAATTTTCACAACCATCAACCATACATTTTCGTGTGCTGCTTTCAGTTGCTCATTTGGGTATAAGAATAGGGGGAGGTCGGAAAGTTAAAAGTAAAGTCAAATATAGAGAATTCATGTACACTAGTGTTGCAAGAATTACGAGTAGATGCGCGAGCGCCAGTGTTTGTGATACTCAGCCATTTAACCGGCTGTCTAACCATCGTTTACTATTATCTCGGGTTTCCCCTCCAGGGAGCCTAACGCGACTTTAGGTTTAGATTGTCATACCCGCCTGAAGGATCTTAGTTTCCCCAACATTGACCTTTGTTAGTCAATTACCTACCTCGGCAAACGTAGCACACGGTGACAAACTATTTGGCGATATGCGCAATACATGCCCCAATCAGCGTAGTCTATGGAGGTCAACCACTTGCTTCAGTGGACAACTGCGATTACCTAAAGCTCTGCATCTGACCTCAGCGGAAGGTGCAACGGCATGGATGGTTATTATTCGATGTACTGTCGAATTAGCAAAATCAGTAATCTGTTGAGAAATCACTGAGCTACGCTGGCACGATAGAGAAGTTTTCAAGAAAGTCCCCCCCCCTTGCAACCCTAAATCGTCGTGCGATCACGGAGATAATTTGCGGAATATGGTAGGTGTTCGGTCACAGAATGCACAGTGAACGGCAGAGTTGATTAGGGTGCTGCAGTATTTAATGCACTAAAACCATGACGATTTAGGCGATACTAAGTGAAGTATAACAAAAATAACATTTTACACATCTAGGTATTGAAACAGTCCCTTGACTATTGTGATACCCGATCCAGTTCGGTCATCCTGTAGGAAAGTTCCAAAACGCTGAGATAGCGTTGCAGACATGAATAACAGGATTGAATGTCTTATGCAAAGTGTGACTGAATGTACAGGCAACAAACACAGGAATAGTTTTGCCTGGAATCTACGACAGACACGTCTAACTAGATCGACCAACTGCGGGCGATACCCTGAAGCAATTCATAACCAATACCACTAAACATCATTGTGATTCAAGGAATTTGACGGTTATGGATGACCCAGAAGACAGCAAAATTGATTATAATAAAGAGT